GCCTAAGATGGAGCTCGACGAGTCGTTCTCGTCCAAGGACACGCTCGCGAACAAGGTCAAGGAGGAGCTCGACGCGACCATGGCCGACTACGGCTACCACATCGAGAAGGCTTTGGTGACGGACATCTCGCCCGACGCGCGCGTCAAGATGTCGATGAACGAGATCAACGCGAGCCGCCGCCTCCGCGAGGCCGCGAAAGAAAAGGCCGAGGCCGACAAGATCACGCAGGTCAAGGCCGCCGAGGCCGACGCCGAGTCCAAGTACCTCTCCGGCGTCGGCGTCGCGCGCCAGCGCCAGGCCATCGTCGGCGGCCTGCAGGACTCGATCATCGAGTTCTCGGGCGAGATCGCGGGCACGACGCCCAAGGACGTCATGGACCTCCTGCTCCTCACGCAGTACTTCGACATGCTCAAGGACGTCGGCGCGTCGGGCGTCTCGGGCAAGACGCTCTTCCTGCCCCACGCGCCGTCCTCCGTCGCGGAGCTCCAGAAGAGCATGCAGTCCGGCCTCATGGAGAACCTCAAGTAGACCGCCCCCCGGCGCGACCCCGCGCCCGGCCCCGGCCGCCCTCCGCCCGACGCTTAAGCCTCTTTGACCCGCGATGGAGGCCTCGATGGCGCCGCACGCCTCCGCACACGGCAACGTCGACGGAGGCTCGACGGCAAGAGGTCGACGTCGCCGCGGGACCGGCCGCAAGCGATGCCAATGCATTAATGGGCCTAACTTAAGCGAGAGACCGGCCGAGGACCAGGCGTACACTCGGCCCGTCTGGGCCCAAACCCTCGAGCCGCCATGGCGACCTGCGCCATGTGCGGCGGCAAGGACGTGACCACGAGCTGCCCCGTCTGCCGCGAGGTGCGCTACTGCGACGACACCTGCCGCCTCGCGGACTGGTCGTCGGGCCACGCGCGCATCGCGGCGCGGCAATTCTGCCGGCAGCTCGCGCTGGAGGGTTCGCCCGTCTTCTTCCTGCCCGAGGGCGAGGAGCCCGTCGGCGAGCGCGTCGACGTCGCGGACGTCGAGGCCGAGGCGGCGGCGTTCGGCGCGGCGGCGGCCGTCGCCGAGGCCGTCGACGGCGAGGCGCTGGCGCCGCGGTCGCCGACGCCGGAGGACGAGGTGGTCGGCGCCGCCGACGAGTTCCTGGCGACGCACGACGACGCGTACTGGACGGACATGGCCGAGAAGGGCCTCGCGATCTTCCCGGGCCTCCGCTTCGTCGTCGCGGTGCAGTTCCCGTCGCTCAAGCCGTCCTGGATGGTCGAGGGCACGTCGGAGAACCTGCTGCTGCCCGTCGTCGAGACGCCCGACGGCCAGCTCGTG